CAGCTTATCAAGCCGTAAACTCACAGCAAATTTTTCAGGACAATTAAGCATAGGGTTTGACAGCAAAGGACCGCAGTCATAAAAAAAAAGAACAAGTTTAGCTATTTTTGAGCTATTTTTTAAGAGCCCCCAAAGACGCTATTAAACCTTTGAAAATATGTACTCAAATATGTATTCCTACCCCCGCAACAAAAAGTAAGCTCCACGAAACCACCCCTCTCCAACATATCTAAAACACAAACAAAACAAAATAAAAATGTTCAACTCTGTGTTGTGGTAAAAAACTAATTTCTTTGAAAAAAGCTGGAGTAGAGAGGTGAACAGTACTTCCTAGAAATAGGCCAACTATAGCTCCAGCTCCCCAAATTCAGTAATTGGGCATAGTTTGGTGAGATCTGCTTTTCTCTCTTCACATCACATCACATCACATCACATCACATCACATCACATCACATCACATCTCTCTCTCTCTCTCTCTCTCTCTCTCTCTCTCTCTCTCTCTCTCTCTCTCTCTCTCTCTCTCTCTCTCTCTCTCACACACACACACACACACACACACACACACACACACACACGAGGGCAATAGTATCAGCCTTAAGTCTTATGAATCAGGACACAACAGAAAGAAGCCTTTTGATTATGGAGCATAAGTCAAGCTAACACCTCACACAGCTCCCCTAGGTGGGATATGTGTGACATTCCTCAGGCACTCTTGGTGGCCCAAGACCAAAGGAAAGGGAGAAAACAATGGTTAACTGATAGAGATCACAGTCATGCAGGACATATGAGTCTCCATCAGTTTACAAACGTTTTAGTAAATTACAAGAAAAAGGCAATCTAATCAATAAATAGCGTAATCTCCAGAAATGTATAGACTCAGTTTCCTGGAGCCCCAAGTTAACAAAGGCAAGAAGGAAATGGCAGGTAAAATTAAATTTCCTTATAACTTGCAGCCCATTGACAAATACTTGAGACAGGCAGAGTATAACATTTCTCCAGAAATTCCCTACTGTCTTCATGTTAATGCTTTACTAGAGGGAAAAACAACCCTAGCCTGACAATAGCTAGGCCTCCAGTATTTTAGGAGTCTTCTTTAGCATATGAAAGTGCTTCTGGAAAACTCCCTTTTGCCTTGACCTCCCCCAACTCCATAGTATATAATCAGTCCCTCCTTACCAGCCCAGTGCAGCTCTTTCTGCCCAAGGGTCCTATCCCCATGCTTTAATAAAATCACCTTTTTGCAACAAAGACATTTCAAGAATTTTTTCTTGGCTCTGGACCCCCACCAACACTCCCCACATCGCATCACTTTTACTTTTTACACCAGGGACTGAGAATGTAATCCTGGTATATGCCTCTGTTTATCAGTTTGGAACAATTACCAATGAGAGTTGTCATATGACTGAGAGAGAGAAACTTCGCTGGCATTTTAAAAAGCAACAAGATTTCTGTTTCACTGAACAATCCCACAAGATACTGTCTTCATTTTAATATAAAGTATATTAGATCTCCATACCTAGATAGAAAAATATACCCACATATAAAGAATATCCAGCTGTTAATATGCTTTTTCTCACTAAATTTGAAATAAAAAATTTGAAGATCCAAAGCTACATTAATGCAAATATCTGTCTGTTGCAAGTATACTTTTTGATTAAATTGGCATACATCAAGTACAATTAGAAAGGTTATTTATAACGAAGAAATACATAATTCTGCATCTTAATGGGGATGACAATTACAGCTGATGGTTGCTAATTAACATGACTTCTTTTGCTTTGGGTGTCAGATATTTCCTGAATGATCTTTCTTGGTGGCAATGGGCATACTTAATTCTGGAAGGCACAAAAGGGTTAATTATCAGTAACAGTTGTGCTCATAACAAATTAGTTGGTAACCTGACCAGCTCTGGTTTCACCTTGGAGACCAGAGGATCAAGTGGAATCTGTAAACTCTGACTCTGGGTCATGGCAGGAGAAGCATTTGTTGAACTCTCTGATCATAGGTGCACCCCCCACCAGGTGTTCAGAACGACAGGGAGGAAAGCCCTCTAGTCCTCTCTCCAGGGGAAGTGGGTTTGTGAGGTGTTACCTGTGCCAGTGAGGCAGAAATGCATGGCACTGTTTGGTGCCACAGCACCACGCTCTTGTGCCAAGATGACTGCCGCGCTTACTCTCTCGGACAGCTCAGGGGTGTGTGACCAATGCTGAAGGCCAGACAAAGAAGCACCGCAGCCCTCAGCACAGAAAACTATAAAGCCTCCTTTGCTTGTGCTGCAAATTATGTATTTATTTTGTTAGCATGAGATAGATGAATATTTCTACATATAAAGGTGCCCAGCTAAAATCAGGATAAGCGATATTAATGTCCTATGGTCAGTATTATTGAACCTTGAAAGCAATAAACTTTATGAGTCAATAAATATTACATTTGCAACATAGTTAACATTCCTTTACTGTCTCTAGCACTTATTACACATTGTAACCGCAAGTCTACAATACATTATTCATATTTGGGGTGTCACCAAGTGATGGATTGCTGCAGGAGAGGCTGTCCTTTAAATAAATCAACAAATAAAAATGCAAATGTTAACATTTTCAGCCACAACTTTTTCCATCTTGAATGGGGAATGAAAATTTCACATTATATTGACAGGCAGCAGAAAGAACAATTAACAGCCCACATTGTGAATGAGAAAGATGACTTTGCACGCCTGGTTTTATCACCTGCACATGGAACCATGTGGGACTCTTCTAGGTGTTAGTACTTATCAGAGAATAAACAAGAACCTTTTTCCCACCAGCATCTGTCCCACCCTCATCCTCTTTTGCAAGTTTTGAAAATTCCCAGAATTAAGGGTGGACAGGCTTTTACTCTTGTTCTCAGTACCTTCAAAGGTTTGTTAGGATGAAGAACTGAGTTTTGTCTTATATTAAGAGTTTGTGTGTAACTGAAAAGTAGTCTATATAAAATTCCTTTTCTACACTTTGAAATAAAAATAATTCAAATAATCCTGATTCTGAAGTCTGGAAAGCAACCACTGTGCCTTCCTGGTAACTGATTTTCATAGTACTGGATCTTTTTTTTCAACTCTGCGCTTTGTATAATAGACCTATGATATGCCATCATGCACTTCTAAGGATGAAGTCCAGTGTGTTGCACATCGTTTTTATGTAGCCAAGTACTCATTATTTAAGAAACCTTTGAGAAACTATATTCAGCTGATTTGCAGTATTAAGAACTAACAGAGAATTCTTTTTTTTCGGTGCGTAAATATGAGTCTTCACAGCAAATTTAACCTGGGCTTGTAAAATTGTACAAAGTTGATATGGTCCATTCAGAAAACGTGTGCTGAGAATGTTCTACAAAATTCTTACTGGGGAAATATTTTATTCTTCCTTTTCATGCTTCTCTCTAAACTGAAATGCAATCATCAAAAACACATTAAAGTAGCATTAAGGATCTCACTTTAATCTTCAATAGGAAAATTCACTAAGACTGAAAATCCAGACCATTTCTTTTTTTATTTTTATTTCTGAGAGAGAGCATGCATGCACAAGCAGGGGAGGCGCAGAGAGAGAAAGGGAGACAGAGGATCCAAAGTGGTGTCCGTGCGGACAGCAGAGAGCCCAACGGGTGGCTCGAACCCACAAACTGAGAGGTCGTGACCTGAGCCGTGAGATCATGACCTGAGCCGAAGTAGGACACTTAACCAACTGAGCCACCCAGGTGCCCCAGAAAATCTGGATCATTTCTCCTCTTTACCTGTACCTCCTCCAGAGGAAGCCTTCAAGGTAACTGAGATGGACCTTTGAGTACAAGCATTCAGCCACACTGCTAAGTGGTCCAAGGAGGGAGCCCTCGCAACATTTCAGAACGACAGCTCTCTGTGGGTACTTGGAAAATGCTAATAATGGCAGCATTAAAAATAAAAGAAAGGAGTAATGGACAAAGAATGTGGTAAACTGGTTAAATTTTCTTTCAGTTGAGGGTCACCTTCAAAATAAGGAGGCTGTCATTGTCAACAATTACAATATTTAAGATGATGGACTTTGGAGTCTGAAATGCTACTTCTACATCTTATTGGCTGGGTGACCTTAGACAAGTCACTCAATCTCTTAGTTTCCTAATTTTAGAAATGAGGATGATAGCAGTACCTCTTTATAAAGCAGTGATGAAGATTAAATGAGATAATTCATAAAAAGTGCTGGGTACATAATAGATGCTAATAGATGGCAACCATTATTACTGTCTTCTACATTAGAGTTATTTCCCCAAAGTTCTTTATAATTAAAATGAAGTCTTAAAATCTATATTTATCTGATAAGATGCTGAGAATTTAAGGCTCAAACAATAGTATTACCAAGAAACCCTAAACTATGCCTTTTTGGTGTTGATCTTTATATATTCAGCTTTAAATGAATAATATGGCAGTCGGCTTACTGGATGTAAGAAATTTTAATACCCTATTTCTTTCCTGAGTCCAGAAAAGGCTGATCAAACTACTAACTCTTCAGATGTTTCTAGTATCAGTAAATGTTGACAGACCCTTTAAAACTGTAATACAAAACCCACCATAATTTTCAGTATCAATTAATTCAATTGGTTAAACTTATAGTCAAAGTATATAACCATTCTGTGATAAATTGGGAAAGACCTACTGCTAAGCACATTTTCTGATGAATGATAGGATTAGCTTTGCATTTCTTTGGAAATCCTCGCCAATAACCAGTTTCAATCAAGGCAGGGCATGTATAAAGGAAAGGGCTCCATGAGTTCAACCTGGCCAAATCCAGATGCTTCCACATAAGGCCTTTCTTCTGAGTAATGGTTATTAAGAATTGTCAAGACTTTCCACTCCGTATTAAGTAGCTCCTCCCAAATGCTCTTACCTAAAGAATATTAAACCCCCTCTCTCAGCTCCTCCCGTTTGCACTCTCTCTCTCAAAAGAAAAAAATAAATAAATAAAATAAACATTAAAAGAAAATAAACCACTTACCGGGAAGTGTCATGCTGCAGTGATGATGTGGTTGTGATTACAAGCTCCTTTTGGCTTCCTGTTGTCATAGGAGATGTGGACGCATCTTTTCTAATTCCTGCCAATGTCCCTGTATGAACAATAAAGGAATTAATTTGGGCTTTCACTAAAAGGAAATGGAAAAATCCATTCTGAGTAATATATTAAACATTACAAAAATCCCCAAGCTTGAAAAGTAAGCTATTTCTTTTCTCTGAAATGAAACAATGGCAGGTGGAAAAACTCAGTGGGTTGTTTTGATTTTGTAAACATCAGAGATCCACAGTATCTTGTTTAAAAAAAGTACATCTGTGCAGTAACAGACTGGCTAGTGGTTTTGTTTTTAAACCTGATGGCCTGTCATCTTCCTGCTGATTTGAGTTTACTGTGAAAATGCCCAAGAAGGTAGATTGCTTTATTTTGTTCCCTTTCCCTATCCTAAGAAGAGATCTTTCTTCTCTTTGAGCCCAGGACTTTGTACCACCTAGGCCCCTAAGTTAAACCCAAAACATTCAAGGTAGGCATAAATCTTAAATATTTCTTTCAAAGAACTAGACACTGGGCTAAAACAAATGCCTGCTTGGAAGAGATGCTTACCTAACCATTCTAGGGCTGATCTGGTCTCTGTTCCTTTCTAATAAACAATGTTGAGTTGATAATTAGTTTTCTCCTCTGGAGTGCTCAATGAGATGGCATGGACAGAAAGGTTTTTCGTTTCTGTTTGTTTTCTAATTATTATTATTTCTAATGATATTATTTCTAATAATAATTTTCTCCTTCTCCTTTTCCTTCGAAGACTGTTAGAATCTCATTCACAGTTTTTCTTCTGGTTCCTGGGTAACAATTGTGTAGGCTGCTTAAAGAACTTATATGGGAAGATGTACTTTTTGTTTGAGGGAAGCGTAACTATTCAAGTAAGACAAAGATAGCTTTGATGTGTACGGAATACCAGACCCTCAAATGCCAAGAATACAGTATGATAATTCTGGGAATGGCACCATTCAGGTGTGACCAGAGAAAATCAGGTCTAGAGAAAGCAAGAGTCTTCTATCTACAGAGATTAGCATCAAAACAATCACCGTGATCCTTGGTATTCAAAAGCTATACTCAATACTAACTGTTCTTTATTATGTACTGAGGTGAAGGATGAACCACCTAAATGCACAATTCAGTCCTCTTTGTATACACAAGTTTGTGGGACCCTCAACCCAAACCAATACATTTTCATACTAGACATAAACTCCACCATTACCTATAGTGCATTCAGTCAGTAAATATTTAGCAAGTACCTAATCATGGGCAAGGGCTATTGCCAGGATTAAGCTCAGACTTAGTTTAGGGCAGGGGAAGGAAGGTGTGAGAGCAGGAACACGAGATACTCTAAACAATCTGGTAATCATAAATAACCCAAAGTAGTATAAGGTAATAACAGCTAACAGACACAACAATATGCTTAGTGTGTGCCTGGTACTTCTCTAGGCCTTTGCCATATATCATTTATCTTTTTTAAAAACAGCCTTATGGGGTGGCTCGGTGGCTCAGTTGAGCATCCGATTCTTGGTTTCAGCACCGGTCATGATCTCACGGTTCGTGGGTTTGAGCTCCGCATTGGACTCTGCACCCACAGCACAGAACCTGCTTGTGATTCTCTCTCTCTTCCTCCCTCTCTGTCCCTCCCCTGCTCATGCTCCAGCATGCACGCATAAATAAACAAATACACTTAAAACAAGCTTCATTATAATTTGAATGCCATAAAACTTAACCATCTTAAGCATACAGTTTGAGAAAGAGTAGATTTCTATAGCTTATGAAAGCATGGCCACAACCCAGTTTTAAAAATATTTGTCATGAGATTCACTTGTTTCTTTTTACAATCCAGGGTTAGAATATTTTCTCACAGGGGGCCTGGGTGGCTCAGTCGGTTGACAGGCGACTCTTGATTTCAGCTCAGGTTCTGAAATCACAGTTTGTGAGTTCAAGACCCACATCAGGCTCTTTGCTGACAGCACAGAGACTGCTTCAGATCCTCTGTCCCCCCTCTCTGCTCCTCCCCTGTTTGTGCTCTCTCTCTCTCAAAAAAATAAATAAACATTAAAAAAAATGAGCTTCTAACACATATTTTATAAAACTGAGTATTTCGTCACCCCTAAAAGTTCCCTTACGTGCATTTGTGGCCAGTCCCTTCTCCCTGTCTGTTCTGTTTGTATCCGCACTCTAGCTCTCTCTCTCTCTAGTTTTGCCGTTTCTACAAATTAGTTATATTGATCCTCATAAAAACCCTTTGCAATAGATACTCAGTTTTATATCTCATTTACAGATAGGCAAAATAAGCCATAGGGGACTTACGTGACCTGCCCAAGGCCACAAAGCTACTAAGTGAAGGAGCCAATATTCATGTCTAGATAATCTGATCCCAGAGTTTTTCACCATTAAGCTCTTCCACCATAATAAACAGAAAAGTCTGAGGAATTAAGAAGTGGAAGAGATCACATATCGCTATAGGATTTAAAAAGATTTAATGCAGGCGGTGCTATTGTGATAGGAAGGAATAAGTAGCATGGAATCAGCAAAAGCATTAAATTAGAAACCTCAAGGCTAAATATTTAATGTATTCAGGAAGTATTTATTGAGCATCACTACGTCCTTGTACCTTGCTAATCACTTTAAATCACTTTACATGCATTATCTCACTATTCCTTACAACAGTCCTTAAATTATATTATTGCTCTCATTTTCTAGATAAGGAAGGTCAAGCCCCAGGTCCAGTATCACACAGCTAGTAAGAACAAGGCTGGGTTTTGATTTTGTATGGCAAACTGATCTTAAACATTGTGCTAGGTGGCTCAAAAGTAAAACACAGCAGCAACAAACACAATTAAAAAAAAACAACAACCTGGTCTTTGGAGAGATTATTTTCGTGGCAGAACCTGGAATAGGTGGGACAGAGAGAAGGGAGGGAGGTAAAGCAGCTCACAACTCCTACAACTGTCTGGACAGAGTCCTGGGTGAGGTGAGGGGAGATTAATGGGCAAACAGGGATACGACCAACAGAAAGGGATTTGTGGGTGAGGTGAGAGGGAAGAAGAAATGCCCAGCAGTGAAAGAACATCATTATCTCTGTAATCACTACTATAGAAGACCTGAACATTATTTATTCTGTTTTGATATTTCTATCAAAAATTTAGTGGAGACAGGTGACATTTGATGGGGACAATTTAAAGAAGGAATTGTAACAGAGGGTCCAGGGACTTGCATGGCATCCATAGATACACTTTGGATTGTGAGTAACTTGTTCTGCAAGATTAGCAAACATTTCTAATAAATTTTCACTTGATAAATGAGCGATGTCTTGCAATACAAGTAGTATGTGATGCCCAATGTCACATGATCACAACTGAGCCAATGGTTCTTTTCTCTCTCTCGCTTCAGGATTGTGGGTGATCATCTGCTATGCTCAGATACTCAGTCTCAAGCAGTGGTGTTTGGCAAAAATCAGTGATTTTTCAGAATGTGGGAAGGTGCCCACAACTGGCACTAGTGTATTTTTTTGTCACTTCAAAGCACCTATGGACAGTCCTTTGCTTTTCCATACAAGAGTAAGCTTAGGAATGTTTTGCCTCATTCTAGGTCAGGCTGCCTGCAGATATAGACCTTTTCCTCTGCTGCCTTATTGCCAGTAACATTAAACATAGTATCTGACAAGAGTTTATTAATATTGTACTATAGTCAACATCCATTAGTGATAATGAAAGTCATTCTACATAATAACCCTCCTCTCTCTTGTCTCCTTCACACCAGCCACGAAGGTTTTCAAAGGTAAGTGCAGGTTAATTTGTTTATTTTTCTTTATATTTCGTATTTTCTTTATTATTTTATATTATATTACAATATTGTAATCATTTTTATATGAATATTTTTGGGTTGTGGAGCGAATCATCGGAGTTTCCATTATTTCTTATGGGGAAATTCACTTTGATATACGAATGCTTTGGATTACAAAGCATGTTCCTGGAATGAATTATGCTTGTAAGCCAAGGTTTTACTGTACTTCATGAATGTGAGACTCTGTCATAGCTGCAGGCACAATAATGTGTGTATATGTGCTCATTCATTTTTCTAAGGAAAAGAGCCATAGTCTTCATCAAATTCTAAAAGGATATGAGACTGCTAAAAGTTAAGAACGATTGCTCTAAGACATAGGACAAGCTTATTCCTTTTTCTTGATACTGTAAATTCTATTCCTTACTAAGTTTCTGGGAAGCTAAATATCAGCTTTTAATTATGTTCATTTCTTCTATACAATTTTATTTAATATTAAGCATATCAACAATTACATATAGTTATGCATATTCATAGAACTACACATCTCTAAATTTATACACACACACAAAGACAATATGCATTTAAAAAATAAAAGTGCTGTTAAGAATATTATCCATTAGGCTGATAAGTTTCATAAATATGTTTGAATATGTAAATAAACACATACATATATTTTTGCACACACAGAACTGAACATAATGGAGCATATCTTATTTACATCTAGGGGGGTTTATGTCCATCCATCAGTCAATATCTCATGGTAAAATAACTTCTTAAAGTTCAACTTTGAGGAAAACGCTGTTTCTGGGCCCTTTGTTTTATTTTGCATTTTAAACGTCCCTGAGTTATAGTATATATTCAGTTTCATTTAAAGAATAAATGACAGGGGCACTTGCATGGCTCAGTTGGCTAAGCACCCAACTCTTGGTTTCAGGTCAGGTCATAATCTCATGGTTTGTGAGATCAAGCCCCACGCTGGGCTCTACACTGACAGCATGGAGCCTGCTTGGGATTCTCTCTCTTTCCCTCTCTCTCTGTCCCTCCCCCGCTTGCATGGGTGCGTGTTCTCTCTTTCAAGATAAACTTAAAAAGAAAGACAGAATAAATGATAAAGACAATACCAAAACAAACCCTTTGCAGATTAAGAAATAAAGTGGCAGCACTGCCACCTGGAAGCATCACTAACATCCATCCCTGATTACAACCTCTTCTCACTTCCAGGAGCCAGCTACTATTGTCATAATTATTCCCTTTCTATTCTTTACAGTT